ATATATATATATATATATATATATATATATATATATATATATATATATATATATATATATATATATATACATCTTTTTATTTGGTTTCATCCAAAGTCCAGACAATATCCTTTCAGAATGGAAATAGAATTATTGCTTATGGTGTGCTATACTTATTCAGCATCTGTATAAACCCAGTCTTGATGCCTTGATACTTTCATCTTTCAATTATTATTTTCAAATGGAACACTGCAGCCTATTTTGTTTAGCATGTGCTCATTATTATTATTATAATTTTTGCCAGCTTGAACTAATTCTCATATTTGTTCATGGTTGAAAGCGAAATTTGAATATGCATGCCAATATTAATAGAAACATAAAAACGAGGCTGAAATAAAGAGTGAAAGACGATCTTATTAAAGACTTCCTGTTAGACTAACTGTGATTACCAGCTGTGATTCCCTTGTTCAATTTATTTTAACCTTTTCAGACGTACAGAGGCTAATTTCATTTTGATCAAAATTGATGAGATGCCATGGAATCAATTAAATTGCCTTTTGTCGCCAGCTACAACAGTTTGGATTCTTCCCCACCCACAGTGCCCGATCTCCTCTCTTTCTCCGACGCCACTCCATCCTGCCTCTTTTGCAATGGTTGTATATTGCTGTATCCATTTCAGCCCTGCCCGGAGGGTGATCCTGTCGGAGTAGATTGTGGGAGATATGTGTTGGTAATTTGATTTGGTCTCCTCAGGACCTGAGTGAATGAGCAGCTTGTGTTTGTGAACACAAACACACAACTATATGGGGACACAAGTCCCCATTTGGTTGGGGGAATCACTGTGTCAACCTGTAAGAAGAAAAGGTCAGAAACAACGGCCCTGATCATTAAACTGATCTGCCACAATTTGGTGCATCAATTTCAACCAAAGCTCTCTGCCTTTTTCTGCAAAATACGGTCAAGAAATGACAGTTTTATATATGACATTTAACTAAAAAGTCTGTTCAAGGCAAATTACCTAAAGGCTAGATGTATGATTGTAACTTTCTAGAAAATGTAATGCTTTACATTATTGCATAGATAAAATAAAAAGCCCTTAAACTCTTTAACATTTTGTCATGTTACTAACAGTGAGCAGACCAAGCTGATGTCTACTCATACTTATACAAATTTTAAAGTGCTTTATCACTAGAAACACAACATTTTAGCTAGGTCTCATTTAATTAAAAAAAAATGGACACAGAAGAAATTTGACTCTGCCAAAAGAAATTACAAATAGGAATTGAACAAATAAAAGTCAACATTCATATTCAACTATGCCTCAGAAAAATTAAAAAATAAACTCATGAAACAAGCCTGAAGAAAAATTATGGTACCCTTTAATTGATTTTTTTTCTTTCATAACCTTTGGTGGCTACCACTGCAATTAATTGATTCCTGTTACTGTCAATGAGACAACCTCTCAGCAGGTATTTTGTCACCCAATCTTGTCCCATTGTCTGGGGTTTGAAGGTTGCCTTTCCTGATGGAATGATTCAGCTCTTTTCAAAGATGCACAATAGGCTTTAGGCCATGGCTCAGAGATGGCCACTTCAGAATTGTCCAGTGTTTTACTCTTAGCCATTCCCTTTTAGCTGTGCATTTAGGGTCATTATCCTGTTGCAAGACCAATGACTGTGACTGAGACCAAGCTTTCTGACTGGGCAACACTGGATGGTTCGACTGTGAACAGAGAGCTGTCGTGCCTTTAAAAAACATTAAATTGTTGTCTCATCTGTCCATGGGACAATCTCGAAGATGCAGGGCAGCATAAACCCACTTCTCTCATTAAGCCCTAATAAAAGAAAGAGAAACAAACAAAACAAACGGTCAGTTCAGCTGTTTTATAAAGAATGTGAATCAGGAAATTGTCTTTAAACCAAACTTAACAATTATTGTTCTCTACATCAAAAAACACTCCAGATTTTAAAATGGAAAAATTTTCAATTTTTTTTATCTATATATCTTTATTTAAAATTTCAATGTATAACATGGATGCATAAAAATCTCATTTTATTTCAGTGTTAAATTCTGTTTAAAGTAACGGATTATGATTAAAAAGTTTCTCCGGACCTTTACTGGCTGTTGATTTTCTTTATTCTGACCCCTTTGATTTTCAATTGGTTACCCCTGATGTAATCTAATAGGAGTGAGTTGAGTTGAAGGTCATCTTTAATCTCTTTAGAAGTTTATCTGGGCTCCTCTGTTACCATTCATATAATCTATCTCTTCGATTTTTCATCTATTTTTCTTCTGCAGAGGGAAGTTGGCCATAGTCCTATCACTCTAAGATTTTTTAATACACGCAACTGCAGTCACAGGAACATCAAACTTTGTTGAGATAGTTTTATACTTTATCTTTAACATGCTTGTCTATCTTCTTTTTTTCTTTTACCCTGAGACAACTTGTTCCTTTGCTTCCTCTGGTCCATGTTGAGTGTGGTACACACCATGTTATAAAACAGAACAGTAACTACTTGCAGCCATATATATATATATATATATATATATATACGCTGACTGACTGTATATAAGATTATAAACAGTGATGCTGGGATTCTGATTAGTGGAAGGGGATTCCTTCATTTAAAATCCCTTTGGTCACATTATTTTCAGTCTTCTGGGGATATGCCCAGGCCTTTTTCATCAGTGTATTTTTTAAATACATTCTATTCAAGCATGCTTGAAAAGCCATGTACATGTATCCATATCATTTGTTTATTTCACAGACTTATTTGTTATTGCTTTTGTCAGATTCAAGTTATTTCTCTGTCGATTGTTAGATTCTCTTTCATCAAACGGGAAGTACCAACAATTTTGTGCATGCATGTATTCTATTCCCAAAGTCAGAACTTGGCAGGACAACCCTTTAATGGAGTTACATAGCATTTTTTTTAAATCTAGAATTTAAATTTTAATCCCTTACTTTAAATATTACAACACAGTGTAATATTTAGCCACAAGGAGCAATATACCTGTCATTTCCAGGTTTTAATAAAGTGCCTGATGGCAATGAAGCTGATTCAAAGCACTGCCAACCGAACCGAACCCAGCCACCACAGAACCACTCCGAATCCCGTGATTTCCTCCTCAAACAAAAGGTTAGACTGGTTTAGACTAATTAAAACACAGACCCATATGGAAAATGCTCTGAAACATAATGAACTTCAACTGGCTCTGAATAAGATCAAAGAACATTTAGCTGTGGTGATTTAACCAATGAGCATTAATAAAACCACTAAGACTCTGAATGCTTCGTATTTATACTCTTTAAAGGATAAAAAATCTATCACAAAGGTGAATAAATATGGACTCGCTATGTAAAATGACTACTTCCTGACTAAACTGACGTCACGTCATCCCTCAGTGGGTCATGTGACCAAATGAGGAATTTTGTGATGATAAGGCCACATTCCCCTCTATACAATAAATCGTACATCAGTAAACCAAAAATATGCCTGCTCAGGCAATGGATCATATAATAATAGATCATGTCTTTTTTGTTTCCTAACAACAACGTCGTAGAGCGGCATTCTAGGTCAGATGACACATTGAGTGACAGATCTGAACCATTCAAGTTACCTAAGTGAGTTTTTCAGAGGGGTTGCCCTCATGCAACATCTACTGTATATGTGCCAAGTGCTGTGTATTGACCTGAAAAGCCATTCCCTATATATCTTAAAATAAGGAACTATTTAGGTCTGAATTTACAGAAATAAAGTACCTTTTTTTCAAGGCCAAACTATTGAAGCAGTAACTGTATGTTTAGGGTTTTTGACAGTCTCAGATGAAACTCAGCCTCAGTCTTTTGTCTCCTGCCACAGGCTTTATTCTAAGGTTATCCGGTATTTAATTCCATCTATTGTTTTTCTATCAAGTTAACCAGTTTCCCTGTTTTTGCTGGCAGGATATCCAGACAAACATCCAGAAAAAATTATGCTGCCACTATGTTTTTTCATAGTGTTAATGATGTGTTTTGTGTATTGTAGTATGCTGTGTTATTGATTTGTTTGTTTTTTTTGTTTTTACCTCTAATAGCAAAGTTTTTTATCTTGGTATCACCTAAGCAGAGCAACTTCTTTCAAATATTTAATTTATTCCCTTCATGGATTGTAACAAAGTTAAAATTTGACTTTTTTTTTCTTTTTAATGATGGCTTACCACTAACCTTACTTCAGAGTAGAGTTATTTTAACTCATAATTTCTATGACAAAGGCTTCTCCTTGTCATACAAAGATAAAGTTAATTCATATTACATTTGAAAAACATTAAAAAGCTATTTTTTTTCTATTCACAATTATGTTCTTCTGTATGAATATTTATTAGAACCACACTTACAATACATTCAAGTTTGTACCATAACAAAAGTTTTTAATATTTCATGTTTACAAGACACTGTATTTCCAGTGTGTGAAGAATTACCTAATATAACCTAACTGACAGCTTGAACAGACTATTGTAGTGGCCAAGTATGATACTGTACCTTATGCAATATTCTTGGAATATTGCATAAGAGAACAAAATCAAAGTTACTTGAGCCCCGT